ACTTCTATACAACGAAAGGAGACTGCGACCACACAAAAGGCCACACCGTCTTGGTCTTCATATCTTCGATAATACTTTATTAAGTTTGATCGTTTAGATTTCTACTATCTTATCAATTTTTCTGTTCGTTTCTTCTATCAGCCAATATTATATTACTTTCCTTAAAATATAGTTCTGTTTTCTATTAAATCTCCAGGTTGTGTAAATATATGAAAATTACTGGCAAGAATGTTCGATTGATTGTATTCCTCATAGAACCCTTGTGCTTTATATTATATTTTTACGATTTTATTTTGTTCCTTTCTTAATATTTCTTTTTCTTTCACCACGTTCCAAGATTATGTTATATATGGTTGCATGTTATCTTGGGAACCCATTACTCAGTAACTTGTTATATTTGCATGATCCGTTTCCTTTTTTTGTACTTGCCAACCAACCATGCAGTCCACTACTTATCTGTTCATCTGTCATCTCTTTCTTAGATTCTAACCTTATGCTAAAACAGCGATTCCAAAAATGTATCATATTGTTACTTCTACGATATATCTATCCTCTTTTTCTCTAAGTTTATCCCTTAATATTTCTTTCATTCTTGAGGAATATGATTAGAGTCTGCTTGATGAAAAGACGCCCAAGATGAGCTATCGTGGCAATGAGTATTCACGTTATAAGAAAACAATTTATACCATTTTTCGATTATACGATTTCATCCTTTACTTCTTTTGGAGCATATTTGCTTCATCTTGTTTGGCTACTACTTACTCTACTATCTACTGGCCCACGCGTATGCTTTCGTTAAAATATAACCATTATTTATTATCTATCATAACAGGAGGCTGGACAGCCTTGGGCAGAGCGTCTTCGCCGTAAACGCCGACAATGGCGTACGCGTAAGCGTGCCATCATCGAACCCCATATTGATCCTCTCTTTCACCAATTGTCTGCCATCTCTAAGGCGGCCACAGCCGCCGCCGTTTTCACGACACATCACAACCAGCCTTTCCATCAACAACGAGTGCTACAGACCGGCTTTGCCAGTAGGCCTTTTCTTGCCCATGGCCTGCCGATTCCTGGAATGACTGTCCCACTGGCCGGTGCTGGTGCTAGCACTGGATTTATTGCAGGACCGAATTCCAGCAGACGCGGTCGAGGCGCCTATCCTAAAGGTCGTCGAGGTCGCGGCTCCGCAGCATCGGCCCCTGGATTCATCTTCCAGGCTAGCTCAGGATTGTCAGTGCTGCCAAGCGCAAGTAACAGCCTGAATATAGGCAATTTCACGCAGCTTCCTCCGGGCTTTGTCGCCTCCAGGCCAACAGGTTTGCTTGACTCTTCGGGAAACGCAGGACTGGCTGCACCCGCCGCAGGCGCCGGCGTTCTCCTTCGGCCGGCTGGAGTGACAACGGAACAGACCGGATTGTGTGGCGTGAATATTCCTGACATGGGCCATACCGCATCGGCTGAATCGATTAACCTAGGACGGCTGTCTGTCCCACCCCTGCACCAACAACACCATTTGTCCGCCAATCCGATGACTGCTGGACAGAGCGCTCCTGGAACCCAGCTTATCGCTAATCCATATTTGCAGACGCCAGTCTCCGGCTCGTATCTTGTCGGCCCAGGCTCTCCGGGCTCTGTTGCTATGACCACTATAGGACTCAGCCCTGTCGGGCAGAAGCTCCAACCTGGCCAGGTACGACCTTTATTTACTTTCTCCTTACGCAATTGCATCTTTGTCTATCTAGTTATGCCTTGGCGGGGTGCCAAAGCAGATCATTTTCCTATATCTATTTAATTATTATTCATTCCTTGATGAAGAGAAGTTGGGTTTCGAAGAATCTCTTAATAGATTGATACTGGGCTACGTTTCATTTCATTTGAGGAGGTGGGTCGAAGGGATTCGTAGATTGGGCTCAGTAGATACCGCAATAGGGTTGCCTTGAACTTTTGTCTGCTGAACTGTGCGAAGAAAACATAGGCTCACCGTCCTACGACCCCGATGACTTCGTGCTGAGCTTTCGTCCGTCATGTGACGAATATCGTCAGGACCAGAAACCATTATTCACGAAAAAATTACCAAAAACACTAAAACGCGAAAGGTTGCCAGCTGAGATCCTACTTACTTCTTATATCTCACTTTGCTATCTTAATGAGGCATTCCCTGATTTGGTTGAAGATACGAAAACCAAGATGCTATGGTCTTTTGTATGGTCGAGGTCTCTTCTCGTTGTATAGATGTAATTTGATCTTGTTTTCGCAACTTGGTCATATTGGCAGGAAGACCTAGAGGAACGCATCTTGTCTGGAGTCCATAGTATGCATGCTAATTTTCAGAGTCGAACCGTGGACTTGGTGCATTCTCAGACGTTTCGCCTGCATCATAATTGTCATCGTCAGTGAGCCTTGCCATGCTTGTCACCACACTACAATGTATCAGAGACAAGTGAAGTCGATCCTTTGAACAAATGTGTGCCAAACAGTTGTGTTATCTCTCTTTCAGTCCTGGGCTATTCACCAATCCTATATCCTCCTATCGCTCCTTTAATATCACATTTTATTGTTTATCTAGACCTATTTAAAATCTGTTCACACTTCCCTCTGGTGATAGGGCGGGAGTTAGATAAGAAGGTAGAGTAGATAAATATGCCAGGACAGAAAGAGGAGTGATAGTGTAACCGTTTTCGGCAGAAGTTTGGTGGATAGGTTGATTTCACTTATCTTTTTGACGAGTTCGTAGCTTGGTGCGGAGAATGATAGCACTTACTGATGATGCCGAAACATTTGAAAATGTAAAGTCCACTGTCTGATGCTGGGAATTATGATAACTATTATGGCAGAGGACTTCGGACTAGGTGCGTTTTACTAAGTCTTCTGGACAACAAGACCAAGTAGCGACAACGAGGTAAACCTAAAAGCTCCAGTTTAGTCATCCTCTCCCCCTACTAAGTGGCTCTTTCTGTTCCCTTTCCTTTTCTCTCTCTCATTTTATTTAGAAGCCAGAGATAGTTCTTATTTAGTTTCCTACATTCATTCCTCTTATTCAGGATGTTGTTTGTTATGTTAATTTTAATCGAAACACTGAGCTTCCGCTTAGCTGTAAAGTCTCGATACCCGGCACAACTTTGGGATTCAGACAATTCTATCTAGTCGAAGGTATA